GGTGTTGATGCAAATAATCAATAACCAATCTGTAGAGAAAAAGATAGAGTGTTATTTATTGAGCCTAACGTGAGGACTAGCCTGGAAGTGTTTTCTTCCCAGGGGAGAAAGCCCTCTGGAGAAGCGTGGTTTACAGTGTGGTTATATCCCATTTCAGAACAAAGAACACACATCAAGCATGACGGGAATACAACTTTTTTCCCCAAAGTCACAAGGGGATGTTTTGCTGCCGTTTAGCAGGTCCACAGGTTGTCTGGGAAGAAAAGCTTACCGTCAGAGAGAGGGAGACAGTCATCCCTGTCCTGAGCGCGTGCTTTGCTGTGGGGACGTGTGTGAAGCAGACGGACAGTGCCTGTGTGGCGGGCCGTGGGTCAGGCTGCTCTGGGAAAAACGACGTTGAGGCGAATCAGATTTAAACCAGAACGGCTTCCCCACATACCTCAATATGTGGAAACTTCTTTTCATCACTGGGGATCACGTACTTTCCGAATGTTTGTTCTGGAGGGTCCCACACTCATCTTTTCTTTCTGAATTTGTCACAGCGCTGTCAGATTTGCCCCCTGTCCATCACCTGGTCCCGTCCCCCTCGGATCAGGGACCCCCTCTGGTGGGCCACCTCTCCTTCTGTCATCTTCATCTCTCCCGGGCCCCCGCCTCCCCCTCCTCTTCCCACTCTCGCTCCCGCTGCTCTCGCGGCTCACCCCTTCTCCCTTCTCTTTCCCAGGTTCAAGGATGGCCCAGCCGCTGCCGTGGACCCACCCCACCGCTACGGTGAGTGGGCGGCCTCCGGTGGGGAGAGGCAGCTGGCTGGGGCAGGTGTGGCCAGTGGTTTGGCTGCACCCCGGCCCAAACTCCTCCTGGGTTCTCTCGCAGATGACCAGGCCTGGGCCCGGCCCCCCAAGCCCCCCACGTTCAGGGAGTTCCTGTCTCAGCACAAAGCCGAGGTCAGCCGCAGGAAGAGGAAGAGCAGCCGACCCCAGGCCAAGGCAGCCCCCCGTGCCTACAGGTGGGGGCGCCCCTGCCCCTGGCGTGTGCACCGCACCAGCGGGGTCGTGTGGCTCTCTCCCTGGTGGCTCTCGGACTGTGTATGCGTGGGACGTCTGTCTGTCCTGTCTCGGCTTTGGCCCTTGTCTCTGTGGGTCAGGCACTTGGTTGAGGGGTGGGGCCTGGCTCCGCTTTATCCTCATCTGTCCCCTCCTCTCCTTCCACCCATCTCTTCTGCCATTTGCCCCCCTTCCATCTCTGTCCCTGACACCTGGGGACACAGCCCGCCGTGTCCTCTGTGCCCCAGCCCACCGGATCCTCACCTGGAAACCCTGCAGGCACTCTCTCCCCCAAAGCTGAATTTGGCAGCTCTTCTTGGGGGAGGAGCTGGAGGTGGGCACCCCCTTCCTCCTGTCCAGCCGAGCTCAACCCTCTCCTCTGTCCCCACCAGTGACCACGATGACCGCTGGGAGACGAAGGAGGCTGAGTGCCCCGCCCCTGAGGCCCCACAGCCCACTCCCCCCGAGGAGACGCCTGTGAAGGTAAGGCGGGCTGTGGTCTCCGTGCAGGGGGCGTGGGGGTGCCCAGGGCCCACACCCTCTCCGTGACCTGCCTGGTGTCCCCCACAGCCACCGGAGACCCCAGCCCCTGCCCACCGGCCTCCGGAGGACGAGGGGGAGGAGCATGCGGGGGAGGAGGATGAGGGGGAGGACGAGGAATGGGAAGACGTGAGTGAGGACGAGGAGGAGATCGAGGAGGAAGAGGAGGCTGACGAGGAGGAAGAGGAACCAGCCCCCGACCACCGCCCCCCCGAGGCGGAGGCCCCCAGGAGCCCCACCAGGGAGCAGGCCCACCAAGAGCCGTCCAGGCCCGAGGAACCCCTGCCTCCTCCCCCGGCCCCCGCCACGCCTTCCAGCCCCTTCTCGCCCCCCGGAGGCCACCAGCCTGTGTCCGACTGGGGCGAAGAGATGGAGCTGAATTCTCCCCGGACCGCCCACCCGGCTGACGCTCTCTCTCCGGGTGAGGCCTGGCCTTTCGGAAATGCATGAAGCTGGCTGCTTGTGTGTGTGCTGGAGGGGAGCACGGGCAGGCGGGCCCCTGGGGGCTGGGCCCCGGGACCCCCGTGTGCCCCACCGCCCCGCGGGCTAGGGAATGCCCAGCCCCAGATCCTGCCCCTGCGCTGGGCCATTCGGAGCCCCTCCCCAATAAAGAGTTCACATCCTCAAATGACATTCCCCAAGTGTGTCCTTGAGCCCCCCTCCCTCCCCAGGGCCTTCTGTCTTGGGGTGGGGGGATGTTTGGAGGGGGAGGGGCTTGACTGGGCCTCCCCCTTCCCCAGGAGGTGACCAGTCAGCCCCTGCCTGCCTGGAGAGCGGGCCCAGCCTCCCAGGAACCCAGCAAGCTGAAGAGGAGGGGTCTGAGGCAGCTCCAGGTGGGGGAGTGGACAGGCCGGCGGGCGCGGCTTGCTTCCTTCCTCGCCCTCTTTCTCTGGGGCTGAGGGGAGGAGGGCTTGGGGGCAGTAGGATGGGGTGGAGCTGGGGCTCCGCCTGGGTGTGTGGGCTGGAGTGGACCTGGGGCCAGGTGAGAATGCCGGGAGTCCGTGGGAACGGAGCGCAGGCCGAGGGGGTGGGGCCAAGGTGCGGACTTGGCGGGGGGGCGTGGCTGGGAGCTGAGCGTGGCCCGGGCCTGAGGGCGAGGGGGCGGGGCCAGGGGATTTGGAAAGTCCTGTAAAAGTAAGGGGTTGGTTCAAGGGGTGGGGCCAAGGGCAGGATGAGATTTAAAGGAATCAAAAGTAAGAACGGGGAGCGGGGGGCAGTAGTGGCTTTAGCTGTGGGCGGGATTAGAGTTTTGGGGTGTAATCCAGTGGGGTAAATAAGAATAAAAATGTAGACCCAGTTAGAATGTCGGGCTAGCAGACTCAGGAGCGAGAGGCCGAAGCCCCGTCTCTCTCCGGCCCACCGGTGGGAGCCCGCTTGTGTACCAGGGACCTCCGCCGAGGAGTGGGGTTAGGATTCGGGGGCAGAGGAAGGTCTGGTTAGAACTCGGGGGGCCTAGGAGGGCATGAGGGAGGTTTGCTTTAGGGCCCGTGAGGTGGGGACGGGGAGGGCAGTGGGGGGATGGTGGGCGAGGCCGGGGCGCCCAGGCGCGTTGTCTTTGGGCCGCGTGTTGGTCAAGTGACCGGGATCTCGCTGTCCCAGATTGTTTTCTCGAATGTGTACAGGGTTCTGCTGGGGTGCATGCTCCTTTGGTCTGCTGCGGGGAGGAAAGGACTCCGAGACCCCGAAGCCACTGAGCGCGGGCCGGCTGTAGCCAGGCTCACTGGGATGAGGGGCCGGGCTGGACAGGGCTGTCCCGGGTCCTGGGGGGAAAGGGGGCCTGGTTGCCCTCCACTGACCGCCCCTTCTTTCCCCAGAGGCGGGCCCCGAGGGCCAGGAGACGGCGGAGATCACCGACTTCCAGAGGGTGCGTTTCTGCAAGGTGGTGGCGGCCGCTTCGCCACCGGGGGCCGCCCGCTGACCGCGCCCGCCGCCCGCGGCCTCCGCGCTCTGCACTAACTCGCGCCGCCTCACTCCTCTGTCCTCCGCTTCCGCCACACTCCAGCCGGGAGAGGGTTACATGTAAGGGGGGAGGAGCCAGGGACAGGGACCGGGGTGGGGCCAGGGCAATAGCCCAGTTTCGCAAGTGGGGGGCGCCGTGGCCCCGGGATGGGTGAGACGCCCCCGAGTGCCTGGCCCGGTGCCAGCCCCCGGGCCGAGTTTCCCGCCTCCAGGAGCTTACACCTGGGCCATGGCAGATGGCGGGTGACTCTCCCGAAGGACTCGCCTTAGTGGGCCACCGGCCCGCCTCTATTAAACGCGGCGCTTCCGCTACCCCTTGAACTGTGATTCCGCGGGGCCAGGCCGGGCTGCTGCGCTTGGCGGGCTTGTCGGTGGCGGAAGAGGCGGGAGGAAGGGGTCTGCCCTCCTCCGCCCCGCTGATTCGTCTTCCCTCCCCCCTCCCGCAGGCCTCTCCGAATTCCTGAAGACGCTGCCGGGAGGGGACTGAAGCCTCCCCGCCTTGCTGGGGAGGGGGCGGCAGGAGGGGGTTAGTCTGCAGCTCCAGGCTGTGCTCTCTTCTCCCAGGAGCCCACTCCGGACCCCCATGGCTCTAGGGAGACGCAGAAATTGAGGGGGCTGGGGGAGGGGCGTGATTGCGGTGTGGGGCGGAGCTGGCGCTCCGGGGCTTGAGTTTGGACCTTGGGACAGCCAGCATAGAGGAGGAGGCAGGTCCCGCGAGGGGCGTGGTCAGTGCCTGGGCGGAGCCAGCACCCTGGTGGGCGGAGTTAGGACGGGACGGCGTTAGGATGGGGGTGGGGCCACGGGACCGGTTTAGAGGGGCGTTCCTAAGGCTGGTGTGGCGCGCAGCCACCGGCAGAGGGCGTGGCTAGGATGCGGTGCTGGAACTTCTGGGGTGAGGAGGAGGAGACGGGTGGGTTCTAGACTAGAGAGGGGTGAGGCCAGAGGGAGAGGAGGGCGGGATCGAGTGCTGGAGTAGAGTCTGGAGTAGAAAGGCAAATTAGGATGGGGCGGGGCTGCGGCTGGGGCGGGGCTTTCGAGGCCTGAGCCTAGCGAGGGGCTGGGCTAGGAGGTGGGGCTAGATGCCTGGAGGAAATCTGAATCCCGAAAGGGATGGGGTTAGGGCGCGGGAAGAAGACCAGAAAAAGAGGAGCGTGGGGCTTCACGCTGGGGCGGGCTTGCATTTAAGAGGCGTGGCCTGGCAGGAGGCGGCTGGGCCGAGACCTGCGCTTGAGGAAAAGCCAAGTGTTGCAGCCCGGGGGCGGGGCCGGAGCCCAGTTGGGCCGGGGTCGGGGGTGGTGTGGTTAAGCCTTAGCTTGATTGTGGTTGGCCGGATGCTGAGGAGGGGGCGGGCCTGGGGCGCGGGGGCGTGGCCATGCTGGCGGGGGCGGGCTGGGCGGGGAGATTTAGAGCGGGGAGTGGTGCTCCGGGGGGGGGGCCGGGGTGGGGGCGTGGCCACGCTGGCGGGGGCGTGGCTGGGCGAGGGTGGTTTAGAGCGCGGAGGCGGCCCTCGAGGGGGCGGGCCCAGGGCTCGGGGGCGTGGCCCTGTCGGAGGGGGCGGGCTGGGCAGGGAGACTTAGGGCGCGGGGGCGTGGCCTGGGAGGGGCGGGCCCAGGGCGCGGGGGCGGGGCCTGCGCGGGCCGCGGCGCGGGGCGAGTGGGCTGCGGGGATGCGGGGCCCGAGCTGCGTGGGCGGCGGCGGCGAGAGCCCGGGCGGCGCGGGGCTGAGCGAGGCCCCGCGGGGCCGCTGGCTGCGCCTGGCCCCGGTCTGCGCCTACTTCCTCTGCGTCTCGTTGGCCGCCGTGCTGCTCGCCGTCTACTACGGCCTCATCTGGGTTCCCGCGCGGCCCGCCGCCGCCGCCCCCGCCGGCCCGCCGCCTAGCGCGCCCTTCCCTCCGTGCGCCGCCCGCCCGGGCGCGCCGCCCGCCCCGCCGCCCGCCGCCGCCTCGGTCTCCTGCCTCTTGGGCGCCCCCGGCGGGCCCCGACCCCAGCTCGAGCTGCCGCGCAGCCGCCGCCGCCGCCGCAGCGACCCCAGCCGCCGCCCGAGCCGCCGGATGCCGGGAGAGACGCCGGAGGCCGCGGGGGGGCGAGGACCCGGGTAACCCTCCCTCCCACTCAAGCTGGACCGCCGGCCCTGGGGAGCCCGGCGCCCCCACCGCGGATGCGCCGCTCCCGCTGGGCCCGGGCTGCTGCTTCGTGACATCGCCCAGCATCTCCGGAGCCGTCATCCTGAAGAATGGGGTCGATGGGGAGCCAGCTGGGGACCTCGCCCTTCGCAGCTCCGCCGCCGTCAGGCCGGGTCCTCCACCACCTGGCAGACCTCGTCCGACATCTGCTTCCTGACCCTCCCTCTGTAGGATTCTGAGCGGGAGCCCGCAGCCCGCCCTCCTCGGAATCTCTGTATCCGTATGTCCACCTGCAATAAACTCCGGCTCCAGCTGCCTCGCGCTGTGTCTGTCGTGTTGTCTGCAGAGGGGCCCCCTCGAGATTGTGAGGGGACGTCCTTCCTGGCGTCTGATCTTTGTCTTCCTCTGGGTGGTCTGTGTGAGTTCTCCGCTTCCCTAGGTGGCTCTTTTTCGTTTTTCTATGGACGTTCTGTAGATTGGGGTGGGGATGGGGAGGGGGGATTTCTATTTGTAGCTGAGGCAGGTGGTCAGACTGTGAAGGACTTCCCAGTTTTTTTGCATGCGTGGGGCAGAGGACAAGTGTCTCTGGAGAGGAACAGGGTTCAGTGTCTTGTCACAGCACAGGAGCCGAGAGCAGAGGTGGGGCGATTTGGGGCAGGAACGGGGCTTCTGGGAATTGTGATTAGCTGGATCACAGTGTAGGGGGGAGGCTGTGCGGCTGAGATGTCAGGATGCTGCGGGGAGGGGAACGAGGCCTCCTTCCTGGGGTTTAGGGGGGGGCGGTTTCTCTGCCTCCCTGGAAATCACGGAGGAAGTTATCAAGGCTCCGCGCTGCCTTTGAAGGCTGCAATGCTGCTGGTAAACTGAGGCAGAGGAACTCAGGTCCTGCTGAAGGGGGTAGAGGTCGTGGAGTCCGTTTTCCCGCCCCGAATACTGAGGCCTGGCTGGGCCTTACAGGCAGGAAGCGGTTGTCCTGCCCAGCCTCCTCCCTTGAACTGGAGTTTCCCAGGAGGGGAAGCTGAGCCTCCGCCTTCGGACATCTGTGGGTATGGACTGGGCTGGGAATGTCCGTCCCTCTCTTTATCGGCCCTCTTTCTCTCTACTCCTCTAGCACCACTTCCCAGAGGGTGACCCCAGACCGAAGGGGAACTCAGGAAGCCAGCCCCCCTTCACAGATAGCATCAGTGGTGGTTAGGGGCGCTGATTTCAGGGCCAGGATGCTCAGATTCAAATCTCAGTTCTTCCTCTCAGTAGCTCTGTGACTCTGGGCCGGTTACTCAACCTCACTGGTCCTATAAAATGAACATAATAGTATTTATCTCGGAATTTCTCTGAGGATTTAAGCAACTAGGGACCTAACCTCCTTAGAGCAGCGTCGCGTATCTCCTCTATCTCTCGGGGCTTTAAAAACCACAGCTGGGATCCCGAGGGCTAGATGTCAAGTGAGCCTGGAGCCCCGGACAGCGGCGCGTGGTGAGACGAGGGGAGGGAGTCCATCTCCGTTCCCGCGGGGCCCCCCTCTCTCCAGTTTCCTCCTCTCCTCTCCCAGCCCCGGTTGTCCTGACCTCCCGGTTGCTCTTCTGCTCTCTGGGTCTCCGTCTCTCTGTGTTTGTGTCTCTGTCTCTCAGCATTGTCCCTGTCCCTCCCTCTCCTCTCTCTGACTCACTCTCAGCTCTGTCGCTCGCCGGCCCAGCTCGCTCTCTCTTCCATCTCCCTTCTCCACCTCTCCCCCCGCATCTTGCCCAGACACCCCCCACTGGCTCCCCTCCTGCCCCCCCTTCCCCCCTCCTCCCTTAGTTCAGCCTCCCCGGCTCCCTTGTCTCCTATCCTTTCTTTGTCTCTCTTCCTGTTCCTCTCAGTCTCTGTTTTGGTCGCTCGCTCTCAACCTTTCATTAAAACAAATATTTTTGGGGCATTTACTATGTGCCAGGCCTTATTTTAAGCACTGGGGACACAGCAGTGAACAAAGGAGGCAACAATTCCTGCTCTCAATGGAGCTGACATGTTAGGGGAGACAGAAGAGAAATAGGATGAGAAAAACTTAAATATGTGTTATGTCAGGTGATAATAAGCACAAAGGAGGAAAATAATCAGAGTAAAGGCGACGGGGAGTGAGGGAGTTGCTGGTTCCTGGATAGAAGCTGAAAGAAGTGAGGGCAGGGCATACAGATCTAGGGGGATAGTGCTCCAGGAAGCAGGAACAGCAAGTGCAAAGGCCCTGAGGCATCCGGGGGTCCGAGAACTGGGAAAGGGGAGGGGAAAGGGGGCACGGGCTCAGAGGAGCCTCAGGCTGGAACACAGCTCTGAGAAAGGCGGGGGCGGGTGTTATGGGGGCCCTGGAGCAAAGGTCGCCCATCAGAGGAGTCCTGGGCCAGGGGCGATAGGCTGGCACTAATACCCGCTGTGTCTGTCATTGGGAGCTGCCCAAGGGAGGCACGGCCTTGGCACCAACGCGGTGCATCTGTCAGACAGCTGTGCCCTCAGCAGCAGGGTCTCTTAAAGGGAGATCAGCAGCGCCCTTCGGTGGCCACCACCCAATGGGACCCAAACCATTTCTAGTTCTTTCTGTGCCCAGGGTCGGCCTCATCCCCAAGCGGCCCACGGACCGGGCGCCCGTGAGCTCCGCATCCCCATCCCTGGGCGTTGGGGAGGCCTGGTCCCTCCGGGTGAGCCGGAGCTGTCCTTCAATCTGATTGGATCAGTGACGCGGTCACGTGACAGCCCGGGACCCAATGCCCGTGCGAGTGGAAAGCAGGTAGCCATCCCAACCCTGCAGCCCACCTGCAAGGGCCGGGCCCGCCAGGAGGGGGCGCTGAAGAGTCGCCGTCCTCCTGGATCCCGCCTCCCCCCCCCCCCCGCACGCCCACCCCGGGATGGAAGATTTACCATCAGGGCGGGAATATATGCAGAGGCACGTGCGAGGGGCCTGCTCCCAGAATCCTGTATCCCTCATCCGACATTCCCAATTCCAGAAAGCTCTGACAGGCAAAAGGTGTTTCTTTGGGGGATGATTTTGGCCCGCTCTCACGTGGTGGCAAATCAAGTAATATCAGTTATTTACACTCTTCATTTATTTCCTTTGGTGTGAATTTTCACACATTTGACTGCAAATATATGAATAGGTCTGATGGGCAGGGGACTACTTCGCCCCCCCCCCCCCCCCAGGAGTGTTACATAATATGTGGCATCGGCTCAGAATTACCCTTCTAAAATTGGAACAATTCTGAGTTCGGAAACGCCACTGTCCCCAAAGACTTCAGCTAAGGGACTGTGGACCTGTAGTTGGGCATGCTGCCAAACCTAGATCCTTCTTAATTATTTGTTCAACATTTATTTAATGGCTCTGGGAAGAAACTCATTTTCCATGCTGATTTTTTTTAAAAAAAATAGAGAATGACGTTCATTCACGAAGTTTTCTTTGTGAATAATACCGTATCGTTCATGTTGTGTGTGTGTCTGTGTTTGTGGAAGTGTGCCCGTGTGGGTGTTGACTGTATGAGCGTGTGTCCACGTGGGAAGCTGTGTCTCTCTGGGTGCGTGTGTCAGGATCTCTGTGAGTGTTCCTAGGTGGGTTTGTGTGAGAGACTGTGTGTAAGCGTGAGCGTGTCTTTGATCGTGTCTGCGCCTCATTGCAGGCCGCCGTCTCTGCCTCGGTTTTCGAATTTCAGCGGACTCTTGCGAAATCGCTCAGCAGAGAAATTTTGCGCTGTCAAGCAATTCCTTGTCCTTCCACTAGAGGTCGCCTCCCCACTTTGGCCCGAAGAAAATGCAACTATGTACATTTTTGCTTTTAATTCCCGGGAGTTTTCAGGTCCTTGCAGAGAAGCACCTGGGGTGTGCATTGAGCAGAGGTTCTCACACTTGTTGGTCGCAGGATTTTTTCACTCTCTTAAAAACCACTGAGGACCCCAAAGAGTTTGTGTCTGTGGCTTATATCCCTCAATATTTAAGTAATAAAATTGACTGAGTTAAAAAAAAATATTAATTCACTTAAAAATAATCATTATAAATCGATCGCATTTTGGGAAATTATTTTATTGTGATAAAATACACATAACATGAAATTTACCATTTTAACTAGTTTTAAGGGCATTATGTAAATTCACATTGTGGTGCAACCATCACCACCATTCGTCTTCAAAACTTTTCCATCTTCCCAAACTGAAACTCTGTCCTCATTAAACAGACTCCCCATTCCCTCTGCCTGCCTAACTCAATAAGGCCTATTCTACTTTCTGTCTCTATGAACTTGCCTAGTCCACGTGCCTGGAATCATCCAGTATTTGTCCTTTTACGTCTGGCTCATTTCACTCAGCATAATATTTTCAAGGTTCATCCATGTTCTTTTTTTTTTTTTTTGCCAAAGATTGGCACCTGAGCACACAACTGTTGACAATCTTCTTCCTCTTTTTTTTTTTCCTGCCTTTTCTCCCCCAATCCCCCCAGTACACAGTTGTGTATTTTAGTTGTGGGTCCTTCTAGTTGTGGCATGTGGGATGCTGCCACAGCATGGCTTGATGAGCGGTGCCATGTCTGCGCCCAGGATCCCAACCAGTGAAACCTTCGGCCGCAGAAGCAGAGCGTGCAAACTCAACCACTCGGCCACGGGGCCAGCCCCCATCCCTGTTCTAACAAGGATCAGAATTTCATTCCTTTTCCAGGCTGAGTCATGTTCCATTGCACACAGACATCACATTTGGTTTATCCATGCATCTGTCGATGGCCACTTGGAAACTCATTGCGTTTGAGCATAAATAACCTCTTAAATGAGAAGTCCTGTATTTTCCAAAATAAAAAATTTAATGAGAAGAGTGGCATTATTTTACATTTTTGAGAATATTTAATGTTCGGCTTTGTGGAAGACAACCAGATTCTCACAGCTACTTCTGCATTTAATCTGTTGCAATATCACAAGTCGTCTTTGGAAAAATCTCGGTGAAGTCCAGCCGACTCATGGGAAGTCCTGAGCACAAGCTTTTCAGGCCTGTTGACCCACCAACCACATCGCCCTGAAACTTATGTAGCAAAATCGCCTTTAGCTTTCCAGTCACCTGCTTTTAACATCTGGTTCTGAGTACAATTTCTGGCTATTTTGGCCAGCACCATCTTGCTATGTGGTCCATGGATCATAAGTGAAGGAAAAATAATCTGGCGGTCATACAGTCACGTTGCAAGTGTGTAACGATGATGAGTTTGTGGATATACCGCTGGTAATGCATCGGTTAACCGTCATTAGACAACAAACAACCAAAGTCTGTGTGTGACGCACACGTATGGGCATTTATTTAGCACATGCATCTGGGGTTTGGCTGAGGG